GCCTGCCCCTTCCCCTCACCACCCGCTAGGAGGGAGGGGAGCCTGCCCCTTCCCCTCACCACCTGCTAGGAAAGAGGGGAGCCTACTTCTTCTCCTTATCACCCATTGCAAGAGAGGGACACCTGCTCCTTCCCCTCACTACCAGCTGGTAAAGAGGGGGCCCTGCTAACGCTGAGCCCTGGAGGGTGGATCTCCCATGCCAGGCCTTGTACTCAGCAGCCCAGGATGGTGGGGGTGGACCACATCCTCCTGTCTGAACAGGGAGAGCAGGGCATAGGCTTGCAGGGCTCTGCCCACTGAGTTGGCAGTTATTTGCTTTTCTAAACTACTTGTGAATGAAGGAGAAGAAACCGGGACTCGCTAATGCCCTCTTACTTTTGGCGCTGTGCTCACAGCATGGTGTTTATTTACCTGTGACAGCCGTGGTGGCTCCTCTGTTGAGGCAAGGGCCAGGCCAGTGGCAGGCCAACACCCTGTGTGGGGCAGAAGCAGAAGCACAGAGCTTATTTTTGTACCTGCTTCTCAAAACAGCTGCCCAGGGCTGTGGCATTCTCCTACATTCCTCACGAGGGAGCCACAGAGGCAGGACAAAGTGACTCCCCCAGACCCTCAAGGGAGAAGGTGGCAGAGTGAAATCTGAGCCTTGGAGAGCCTGAGTCATGTGGGCAGAGAGCAGGTTTTACCTTGCCCAAATCCTTTCCCTTCCTGCCCTTTAGTTCGGCAAGTGAAGCAGGGATTGTGTGCAGACTTGCAACAACTGAGAGACCAGAATCCCATCCTTCTTGAGGTGGGGGCTGCTGACAGAGGACAGGGGCCTAGGCTGGGAGGCAGAAGGGAAGCCCTCCACCCCATGCCCACTTGCCCTTCACCGCCCCGCAGGTGGTGGAGTTGCCAGTGACAGAGCGCCAGATCGAGCGTGAGCACCTTATCCAGCTGCGGCGCTGGCAGGAGACTCGGGGAGAGCTTCAGTGCCACTCCCCACCACGGCTGCATGGGGCCAAGGCTATCCTGGAGGCGGAGCCAGGGCCCTGGGCAGCCTTGCAGCCTTCACCATCCATTCGCCTGCCCCCAGATGCCGCCCCCCTTCCTGACTCCAAAGCCAGGCCCAAGTCGTCCAAGCAGATCCAGAAGGAGCAGCGGAAGCAAGCGAAGGCAAGCGGGCAGCTGGACCAGGCCCCCCCAACAGGCCCCGCCGAGGTAGTGGCTGCTGCAGGAGATGCATGCCCCTCACGGGACATACCTCCAAAGGACCTGGCCCCCCAGAACTCAGCCCACCACCTCTCCCATGAGAGCCTGACGTCCCAGGAGAGTGAGGACACCTATTTGTAACCCTGGTAGCTCAGGCCTCCAGGATGAGGTCTCCTTACACACCTATGGGGTTCACGGACTGACTGACACTCCAGGGCCTGCCCACCTCTGAGGGCTCAGCTGCCAGGCCTCTGGGCCAGGATGGAGTCTGACTGGCCCAGCACAGACTGTCTGAGGCCTCTTATTTATTTTCTCCAGAGCAGAGCACCAGCCAGCCCAGTGAGGGCAATCAGAAGTGAGGGCCCAGAGGCTGGGTCCTCACTCCTCTTCCTCCTGGGGATATGCTCTCTAGGGCTGGGGCGCTGGTATGAGGAGAGGGTGGGATGCTATTTGTGTAAAATAGGAACATGATTTTGTACAGAAATAAACAGACTTGTGTAGAAAACTGGTGTTCATTGAGGGACCTGAAGGGTACTCTGCCTCAGGGGGCCCAACATGTTTTCTGGGTGCCCTACAGAGACCACCTCCATCCTAGGCCTTGGGATTTCTGGCCTCCAGCGCAGCACCAGTGTCTTCTGAACACATCTGCTGAAGGGGATGCCCACCCTGTACCTGGCCCTCACCCTCAACCCCATCACCTCAACCTACATCTGCCATCTGCCATGAATGAGAGGCACCGGGACAGGTGCTAGGGAGGTCTTATGGCCTAGTCTGTAGGGAGTTGTGCTAACTCAAAGACCACACCTCTATGGAGGTTAAAATCCACCAGCTGCTCCTTTGGACAAAGATGCGCACTCTCCTCCCATGCAGTTTACAGCCTCTGGAACCCACTGGAGGGTCAGGTATGTGTCAGTTCCGACATGACAGCAGTGAGTTGAGTGCAGGAGCTCAGCGCTGAGGCAGAGCAAAGTCTGCTTTCCTGGCTCTGACCCCTACCTGTCACCTTATGGAAGGGGCTTCAGGGGCTTCCTCCTCCAGGTCTAGTCTGCTTGTCACATTAGGCCCACTGAAGTTCTGCCTAAGAACCCATGAGATGTTGGGTCAGGGGCTGGTGCCAGGAGTCGGGGTCTATGAGTATCAGACTTCATTGGAGGGTTGAGGGGGAAAGTCTGGGCCCCTCACAAAGTGCCTCCTCCTGACTGAGCATGTGCCATGAGCCTGCCTTTTGAGTAACCACTCAGCTCAGTGTTTATCCCCATTTTACAGATGAGGAAACAGGACCACCTGAGTAGGAAAAGGGATCTTCCCCAGTAGAGGTGGAACAGGCAGATTTGCACCCTGGGCCGCTCAGCTGCCTTTCCTGACCTGGATCCTAGGGTGACCCGCCGTTGAGGGCTCAGGCAGGCATGGCGGTCACAATCTGACAAGGGTGAGGACAGGGTGTCCTCGGGACAGGCCCCCCCTTTCTGCTGAGGAAGCAGCTTTTCTAGTCAAACAATAGTGGCTGTTCCTGGCAGTGGATCAGGCTGGGCCTGGTGGGGGCAGGAGGAGGAGGGGGAGCCCCTCCCTGGGAACCTGCAGGCTTCTAAGGGCCTAAGCCTGGCTGTTCAGCCAAGGATTCTGAGGCCCAGAGAGGTCAGTGGTCACACAGCCTGCAGGGGCAGAGCCCCCACTTCTTGCCTCCTACTCTTAAATCCTGTGGTTTACCATCCCATTTGTACCTGTATTGATGAGAAGTGGGGCTTCCCAGCCTTTGGGCATCATCCCTCCCCCATCCCGGCAGGGGCAAGCCAGGGTGTGGAGGTAGATTTAGTCACAGGAACCAACGAATGAAGAGTTAGCTAACTTGGGTCCATCTGCATCTAGAGCACCCAGGGAGGACCAGAGCGGCCCCCAAGAACGGCTGAGATCTGACATCTGGGCAGCCAAGGTCAGCTGGTGCCTGCTCCTCCTTGGGGTCTTCTTAGACTTGAGGCGGTAGCAGAACCATTAGCTGAAGCCTCTGAAGCTTCAGCTTGTAATGAGGCCTCTTAAGCCTCGGGTTTGTGGATGCTGCCATTGCTGGGGCCCCACTTTTGTCCTGAGGCACATTAGACTGGCATCTGCCAATAGCTGCAGACTTTCGAGGTCTAGTGCCTAGAGTGTTTCTGGGGTCCCTTGGGCCACAGCCAGGAGGGGAGTTTTTCTCTGTGACCTAGTGGGGAGCCTACTGTTCTGAGAGTTGGCTGAGACGATCAGACGTCAGTCACTGGGATTGGCCCATCTGCGGGGTTCACAGGTGGGGGTGGCATGTATGTATGCATCAGTGTCCACCCCAGGCTGCCCGAGCTGTGGGTGAGGACTTGTGTCACCTCCACCTGGGCCAGTTCTGGCAGCCCGGCTCAACGCGACCAGTCAGAGGAAGAATCTCCCAGTTTCTGGAGGGAGCTCATCACTGGGTCCCCAGGGCACACCCAAGCCCGGAGGATCAGAGGTGACACTCTGGTGGCAACCCAGCCTCGATTCCCCTCGGAGCCCTTCCGGCCGTCCACGACCTTAATCATTGGACCCACGTGAAGGCCCTAAAGCCAGAGACCCCAGCAACAGAGCGCCCTGCGGAAAGGGCGGGGCCCGGGGCGGGGCGGATGCGGAGGGGTCGGCCGGCGACTCACGCGCTACTTCCAGGGGGGCGGGGCCGGGTGAGGTCCGGAAGGAACGGGGTGAAGTCCTGGCCCTCGCGGGGGGCGTCGCCACCTCCGATAGGCCCCGCGGCCTCAGGGCGGAGCCGTCGGGAGCGGGACGGGGCGGGCTCTCGGCCTAGCGGGCCTCGTGGCCTCGGCTGCTCCTTTAAGCCCTGGCCCCGCCCCTGGCCCGTCCCCCGCGCGGCCTGGGTCTGGTTGGATTGCGGGGTCAGCTCCGCGCGCGGGACGCGATGGAGCTGCACATTCTAGAGCACCGGGTGCGGGTGCTGAGCCTCGCCCGCCCCGGCCTTTGGCTTTACACCCACCCGCTCATCAAGCTGCTTTTCCTGCCCCATCGCAGTCGGTGCGCCTGCCCGGTTCCAGCACTCAAGTGGGGTTGGGGGCTCAGTTGTCGATAGGGGCCAGGACTTGGGGTGCATGAGGGTCACCGCAGGGCGGGCGGGGAGGACGTGTCTTCTTCCACCACCATCCAGTCTGAGCCTGCCTTCCCTGGGACCGCCGCCTGTTCGGCCCCACGAGGCCTTGGTCGTAGGGCTGTTCGGGACGCAGTTTAGGGAGGGTCGTGTCAAGTGTGTCGGGATTTCTTCCTGGCTGTTGCAGGGAGCTTCTGGGCGTCTCCTGTCAGCTCTGCAGACCCGGTCCTTAAGTCCCCGGGCTGGTTCCAGGAATGGGGAAAGAGAGGTGCATGAAGAAACCGGGGAGGGGGCTCAGGGAGATCGGGAAGCGGAAAGCAGTTCGCAGCCTAATAGGTGGCGTCCCCACTCCGCTGTCTTGGGAAGGAAACTGAGGCTGGAAGGGGAACACGGGTCTTAGACCACCTGGCGGACGGACGGGAAAGGTGCCCTATGGGGCTTCTGTTCCGGGCGGATGGAGCGCTGGGAGCTCTCCACCCTCGTTAAAGGTTCCGCCCCCAAACCAGGTGCAAGTTCTTCAGCCTGACCGAAACCCCCGAGGATTACACTCTCATGGTGGACGAGGAAGGCTTCAAAGGTGGGGACCGGGCCTGGGATGCAGGAGCATTGGGAGGGGGATTCACCACCCAGGGATCCAGTCCCCAAAAGCCTTCAAGACAGATGGCTCTGGGTTCGAATGTGGACCCCACTACTCAACTGGCTGTGTGGCCTTGAGCGAGTCACTTCTCCTCTCTGAGCGTGGTTCCTCCTATGTAAAATGGCTCTGGTTAATAGTTCTGATCTGCCAGGGTCCTACAAGGGCCTTGCACTCTTGTGCAAGGGGCCACACAGCCCTTGCACTCTTGGGGTGTGTGCGAGGAGGGTCCTGCAGCTGCTAGAAATCTGGAGTTATTATGCCCCCTGGATTTCTCTGCCTGGTGCGGGTCACTCCTTCCCCTGCTGGCCTGGCTGCTCCAGGAGTTGGAGAGTTGGGAAAAGAATGCAGGTTCTGGCAGTCATCCGGGGCGGGGTCCTAGGGTGCCTCCTTCGCAGCCGCCCAGACCTGGCCTCTGCTCTGGACTGGATGCCAGCCTGTTCCCTCCCTGGGCTTTGGAACCGAAGTCTGGCTCCCGTGCTTGCCAATTTGGCTGGCCTTCAGGCCTTAGTTTCCCTGTTTGTCCTGCAGGGGAAGCCTGGGTCAGCATGGGGAAAAGGCAACCCGAGCCAATGTGATATGCTGGCGCCCCCTGGTGCTACCAATTGGCCTAACGCCTCTGTTACTCCTCGGAATAGCCAAGAATTTACTGGTATTCCATTTTCCAGATGAGGAAGCAGGCTCAAAGGTTAAATCACTTGATCCAGGTTTCACAGCAAGTTAATGCTGAAATTAAGTTCTGTGTCCAGGTCTTAGTGGAAAACCTCCACTCCTAGCTGGCTTAGCACCCTAAAGTGCTTCTCAGTTCTTGTATCTTTGCCAAAAAAGAGGACCCCCTCCCCCAAACCAGCTGGGGGGGGGCGCCTCAGGCGTGGACAAGGACCAGCTCTGTGGACCCTGACTGGACGTGTGTGTCCACCCACAGAGCTGCCCCCTTCGGAATTCCTGCAAGTGGCTGATGCCACGTGGCTGGTGCTGAATGTCTCGTCCCACAGCGGCGCAGCCACAGCGGTGCAAGCTGCTGGGGTCACTAAGATCGCCCGCTCGGTCATCACGCCGCTGGCCGAGCACCACGTGTCGGTGCTGATGCTGTCCACGTACCAGACGGACTTCATCTTGGTAAACGTCCTGTAGCATTGATGCAGGGTAGGGAGGGCCCCGGGTGGCCTGGGGACCCACATGATGCCCTATCTCCCTGTGGCCAGGTGCGAGAGCAGGACCTGGCTGTGGTCATCCACACACTGGCCCAGGAGTTCGACATTTACCGTGAGGTGGGCGGGGAGCCTGTACCCGTTGCCAGGGATGAGTCCAGCAACGGCTTTCCCCGTGCCCAGCATGGTGAGGGCCACCCCCTGACAGCCAGACTCTCCCCACGGGTGCCTCTTTCCGCTCCCTTGAACGGGTGGGTCTGTGGTTATGTGGAGTTAGGGGCTCAAGAACCCACTAGTCCAGTTCCTGCAGAGCACGGCTCCGTGCTCCACCCAGGTTCTTCTCTGACTGTGGCCACCAGGGGGCACTCCAGGCCTGCCCACCAGGCCGACCAGGCCTCCCTCCATCCCTCTCTCCCAAGCAGGGCCCAGCCCCACGGTGCATCCCATCCAGAGTCCCCAGAACCGCTTCTGTGTCCTCACCCTGGACCCTGAGACGCTGCCAGCCATCGCCACCACCCTCATAGATGTCCTCTTCTACTCGCACAAGTAGGCCCTTGCTCACTGTCCCCTGCACTCCCTTCTGCCATCTTCCACCTGTCCCTCCATTTGTCCTGTATCTCTGTGCCCAGTTCTGAGTTTTTGGCAGCCCCTGATGCCCCCATGTCCTCTGCTGATGCTCAGGGGAAGCCCTTGACTCCGTGGCTGAAGCCTCTTCATGGTATCATCAGAGTTACTCATGCCCCAGTCAGACTTCCCACCCCTGGGAGCCCATGTCTGGTATAATAGATGGCATCCTGACTACACCTCAGGAAGTTGAGGCCTCAGGCAGGGAATCAGTGTGTCAATGTACCCTAGAGACAAAGCGACCTGCCGTGAGCTGCCTGGTGCCAGGCTCTGCCCTAGAATCTGGAGGCTGATGTGGGGAAGTGGGCATGGGCTAGGTGCCTGGCAGAGCTCCTGAGCCTCCTGTTCCCCTCCGCCCTGTTCCAGTGCCCCCAAGGAGACAGCCCCTGGTGGTCCTGGACCCAACTCCATCCCGTTCTTTGCCTTCTCCCTCATTGAGGGCTACATCTCCATTGTCATGGACGCAGAGACGCAGAAAAAGTATGTGACTCCCCGTGTTCCTCCCCACCCAAGCCCAGGTGGGCTGCAGACCCCAAGACTGTGCCCCTCCATCCAGTATGAGAGGTCGTGCTAGACTTGAAGGTCCTCAGGTTATGTGCCCAGGGGGCCTCACCACTCCTTCCCTCCCTCCCCAGGTTCCCAAGCAACTTGCTGCTGACCAGCTCCACTGGGGAGCTGTGGCGGATGGTGCGCATTGGGGGACAGCCACTGGGCTTTGGTGAGAGCTCGTGTGTGAGGGTCCTGGGGAGGGTGCGTGGGGTGGGGGTGGGAGGGCAGGTGATTCACCTGTGCTCTTCCTACCCTTCAGATGAGTGTGGGATCGTGGCCCAGATCGCCGGTCCCCTGGCTGCCGCAGACATCTCTGCCTATTACATCAGCACCTTCAACTTTGACCACGCGCTGGTGAGCACTCGGGGTGGGGGTGGCTGGGAATGGAGGTTGGGGAGCTCTGGAGGGAGACTGAGGCCCATAAGTGGGGTAGAAGACCAGGACGTAGTCCTGACTGGGCCACCCCTCCCCCTGCCTTCAGGTGCCCGAGGATGGTATCAGCAGTGTCATTGAGGTGCTCCAGCGACGACAAGACGCCTTGGGCTCCTGAGTCCCAGGGGGACGTGCCGTCCACTTGCTCCCCACCCCATCCTGGGGTTCCTCTAAGCTATCTCCTCAAATTCTGGGACTATGCCCTCCCCATTGCTATTCTGAGGACCTCATTCTACTTTCTATATGTAAGCTGCTTGTGGGTGCCGGCTCTCATGTGACCATGTGGACATGCTACCATGGAATGGACAGCCGCTGGCCCCACTACGTATGTGCCTACGCAGGGAACATGGTGCTCGGGTGTCCCACCTGGAAGCCCCCAACCCATCACTCTCTGCGCGGCCTCAGCGTTTGCACAGTTCCTGCCTGAGGCCTGATCCGCCCCCCCCCAGGACCCCCCCCAGGCTGCTGTACCTCTGGAACAGGGCCTTGTTCTCCGTTCTGCCTCTGACTCGGTGGCTTTGCTTGCCAGGTGCATTCTCCAGCGCCACCCTCAGAGGCCTCCAAGAAAAGTATTTTTGCATCTCTCATTTTCATTCTTTTTTTTTTTTTTAAATATTGACTTGTTAATAAAAGATTTTATAGTTACTGATCTGGGCTATTGAGACCCTAGGGGGCCACTTGGGTCTTAGTCTCACCTCCTTGGAGCCTTCTCTGTTGTCACCTGAGGCCTTACCTTTAGGGCTGACTGACCCCACCCGTGCAGTTCTCATGCAGCTTGGTGCTGTGCCTGAACCACGCAAGGACAATTTGAGAGGTGACAATTTGCCAGAGTCACATGGTGTCTGGAAGACTCCCATTCAGGGCTGTCTGGTGCCGAAACCTAGGACCTTTCTTCATTCCTCGCTTCTAGAATAGCCCAGGAAGTTCTAAACATGGGCAGGTACTCTTAGACTCCTGCTTGCAGGTGCCCTTCAGCCCTGCTGTATATGACTGACCTGCTGGGAGCGCTCGCGAGCACTTCTTTCCAGTTGCTGCAGGCTGGCTTTTGGCGCGCTGCCTGAGTTCTCTGCCTCTCCCTCACCAGTGACAGTCCTGCTTGAGTGGTGGTGGGAGGACGCCTAGTGGGGGAGCAAGGGACCCAGGGGTCTACACAGGGCTTCTCCCCCTGAGATAATGAGTCAGGAGAACAGGATAGACATGGAGACCTGATCTGCCCTCAGTGACCGTGATCCAGGGCACAAGACTGAGCCATGTAGGTCAATGTTCTTGTCAGTAATGGAGCCGAGGGGCCCACAGATGCTCTAGGGAGCTTATCAGCTGCCTTCAGCCCAGACTCGCCCGTGCTAGGGAAGAGAAGGGTGTGACTTCGGCGTACCCGGAGGTCGCTGTAGCTCCCTAGAAAAGTCAGTGCAGGAGCCAGGCCTCTGGCTGCATGCCCGCCCGCTCCTGGGAACCACAGCTTCGGGCCTCAGGCTGCAGATCAGAGGAGCTGAGAGCAGAGCTGAGCCCTGGCCTGGGTGAGTCAGTGGGGCACCAGCCCTCCCCCTGACCTCAGTTTCTCCATGTGTGGAGATGTGAGGGGCAGCTCCATCAGAACCCTAACCCTGGCCCTGACCCCTAGGGAGGGGTCTGTCCATGGAATCTGTCTTAGGGGCCTGGGGAGCTCAGCTCCTCCCCTCTGAGTATGTCTGGGTCCAGGCAGATGGAATGGCCTGGGTTTGAGGTAGGAAAGGGGCAGGACTCTGTTATCCTGGGTGTCTGTCCAGGCACATCTGTCTGTCTGCTGCGAGTCACTATCTGGGTGTTTCTGTTATCCTGATCTCTAAGGGCCACAGGTCTTACCCACGTCCTTCAAAGCAAGTCTGACCCAAACCCAGCTGGATGGGGGTGTCCCAGAAGAGTGGCTCATGCCCTGTCCTATTGGTCAGTGTGTCTACCACACATGAGCATCTGTGTGGGGTCCTACCAGCTCTTGCCCATCAGTAGATGGGGGGACCCTGAAACCCACTGGGTTAGGGGCACAGGCTCTAGGAGGTATCCTAGGGAACCCTCAGCTGAGCATGAGTCTTCCTCAGAGAGATTTGAGCTCTAATGTAGACTTCCAAGTTCTTAAGGTTTACCTGGCTAGTGGAATCACTTATCTGCCAGGTAGCCCCAAAGCTGGGCTCTGGGGTTCTATGTAGAAGTGGGGATACACTCATGACCTCCTGATAGAACTTTACCATCTCCGGGCCCCATTTTACAGTTTAATGTCTGAGTGCAGGTGACAGACAGCTTCCTGATTCGAACCAGCGACCTCATCTGGACGCGGGAGCTGCACCCAATCCTGTTCTCCCCAGTGAAGCGGGCAGCCCAAGGTGGCACAGCGGGGCCTCTCGGGAGCCCGGGGAGTTTCCCTGGGGAAGGGCACTCCAGCTGAACCCTGAGGGCCGCGGGTGGTTTTGTAAGCTGCCTTGCAATCTCAGCTGTTTGCGTCTGCGGCCGGGTGTCTGCTGCCGGTGGCAACGGGTGCGTGGGCAGGCACGCGAGCCCGGCCTGGCTCCTCCCTGACCCCGGCCTGGGCAGGGTGGGTGCGTTGGGCAACGGTCGTGGTTTATGTCTCACTTTCCCCGGTGCTGGGCACTTCCGATGGGGCTTCTCGGTCTCCAGATTTGTGTCTGCCTGGGTGTGTGCTGTACCAGCGTCCGCATGCTTGGTCTGTGCTTGCAGGCGCTGTGGGCCTCTGTGCACACCTCTGTATCAATATCAAGGCTGCTGTGGCAGGAACACGCGTGTGTGAGAGATGACAATAAGAAAATGTGTCCTTGTGTGAGCGTGTCCTGACACACTTGTCCCCTGTGTAAACATCTGTATATTGTTATGACCTGTGGAGTCGCCTGTGACTCATAGTGACCCTATGCACAGCAGCTCTGAAGCCTGCCCCGTCCTGAGCCAGTCCCACTGCTCCTACACACCTGCCCCATCTCCCCAGTCACTGTACCAATCCATCTCATCTGGGGTCTCCCTCTCCTCCACTGTACTGCCACCCTTCTGAGCATGATGTCCTTCTCTAAGGACCTCCTTGGCCACGTGCCCAAAATATGTGCGACGGAGCTTCAAAATCCGGGCCTCCGAAGAGAAACTTGGTTTCATCCTCTCCAAGACAGGCCTATTTGTTTTCTTGGCGGTCTAGGATATGTTCAAGACTCTTCTCCAGCACAGCAACTCAAAGGCATCAACTATTCTTCTGTCTTCTGTATCCAGAGATGCCCAATTGTGCACAGGAATATTATGGTGTGAAGACTGTTTTTGTGGCCCCCTCCACATCTCTGTGCTGTACCTGTTCCTGGGTATTTGTACACACATGAACATCTTGGAGAAACTCTCTGTGTTTGCTTCTGTCAGTTGCTTGTGCTGTGTTTGTGTGTATGTGTGTGTGGTCATCCATGCCTCTGTGTGTACCACTCGGGCCTGCACCTCCTCCTCCCCCACCCCCAGGTCCCAGAGCCTTGATCTCAGAAAGACCTGCTTTAAAAACAAAAACAAAAACAAGCCAAAAAAACACCAAACAACCTGCTCTCTGGGGACTGTACTGGTCTGGCACCCTCCACCGCGACCCCCAATCTCCTGGCCAGGCCACAGCCTCACCACAACCTTGCCTTCTCTTTTTGAACCCTCAGCCTGACTCTCTGCTGTGACACAGCCCCTTTGCTGACTCCACAGCCTCAACAACCACCCCTCCCACCAACCTTGGACCCACACCCCATACGCCCCACAGTCCTGCTTCAGCCCGGGCTTGTCCTCCCCCCAGCTGCTCTCCCACGCTCCCCATTGGTCTCTCTCCCACGCTGTCATACCAACTCCGTCTCACGGGAACCCCAATCCAAGTGTACAGAGGAGAGCTGAGAACTGTAGGATTTCCCAGGCTGTGCCCTTTCCAGAGTTCTGGCGCCCTCGTGAATAAGGTCCGGCTCTAGGTTCTATATGAGCATACTTAAGTGTTCCGGGACTCCCGTTTTTCTCAGTGTTAGCCATAATTTGTTATGATCCACACAGTCAAATGCCTTTGCATAGTTACACAAATAGACATTCTTCTGATAGTCTCTGCTTTCAGCCAGGCTTCATCTGATGTCAGCAATGCTGTCCCCAGGGTCATGGCCTCTTCTAAACCTCTCCTTGAGCTTATGGCAGCTTTGCCAGTGTTTATGCTGCCAACCCAAGGAAACTTGGTTTGAATCCACTGGCTACTCCGCAGGTTTACTCCTGTGCGATTTACAGCCTCTAAAAACCCACTGGAGGGTCAGCTATGAGTCGGATCTGACTCAGTGGCACTGAGTTGTTGTTGAGTGGACTTTCCAAAGCACCTGTTGTCTGGAAGCGGCATGTGTTGGCCCTGTTTGCACAATCCAGAGACACCTGCTTCTCCCCAGCACTGCCTGGGCGTGCCTCCTCCTGCTCTGAGCACCCACATCCAGGCCGAGCCCACCTTGGAGACCCCCTGGCCAGTGCCAACCCTTCCTGTCACTCCTGCCCCTTGCCCTATGCTGTCCCTCAAGCCACGACCTCTCCTCTAGACAGCCGCCTGGCCCTGTCTGCACTCACCCTGCCAGTTTCTTCTAATTAGCCCTTTCTGCGCCTGCAAGGAGAACCCTGGATGAGAACCAAGGGCAGCAACAGCAGGAAGGGCCGCGGGATCACTGTGCCTCTCGCCCCCTCCCAGCTTGACTCACTCTTGTCCAGCCCCCTCAAGTCTGTGTGTTGTTAAGGTCAGCCATTTTCTAAAAAAAAAAAAAAACCCAACAAAAAAAACCCAAAACCAAAAACCAAACACCCAAAAACAACTAAGGTAAACTCACATAACATGAAATTAAACATTTTAGAGTGTATAATTCAGTGGGATTTAGTATATTTACTGTCTTTCAAAACATCACCAAACAAAACCGTCTCCCTGTGAAGGAAGCTCTGTCCCCGCTGGTGGTCACTTCCCATTGCCTACTGTCCCCAGCCAAGCTGTCACCACCAAGCTGCTTCCTGGCTTTAGCTACTCCTAATAGTCTATATCAATGGAATCATACACATCTTTTTAAAAAAATAATTTATTATATTTTTGTGTGTGTACCGTCAAATCGGATCTGACTGGTACAGGAGGAGA